TGAACATACTGACTAGAGGATAACAGAATAATCAATTACATTCTTCAAAACGGCCATATAACTCTTTTTTCTTTGCTTATTGAGCGGCGGGATATTTTATTGGTTTCCCCTCTTCATTTAAACGGAATTGATGTGAGTATTTCGTTCTCATTCCTGCTCGGTCAAGTCTTGAGGGAAATCCCCAGGTAAAACAAAATTCTGTTGTTGCCATTCTCCCTCCCCCTCCCCCTACCAACTGACCATTTTCATTCAGTAATTTACTTTTTAAAGAGAATTTTAGTGAACGCCAGCATTGCCTAGGAAACTGTTTCCTTGGTTCCAGAAACGCTGGAAATGGCGTTTCTGAGTATTCTATTTTAAAAATTTCCTGGGGGAGCATGCCCACAGACCCCCCTAGGTGCTTGCGCCTTCGGCGCTCGCGACGCGCCTTACGGCGCCAAGAAAAAATTCACGGCCGGTGCTTTCAGAAGTATGTCCGCTACTTTACAAAACAGTTGAAAACCCTGCCCACCAAGTAAAGACTCTGCAATAATCACCGTGTTTAGTCACCTACATGACTTATTACAGACTACAGACTTGTTACCTGATGGCGAGTTGGTTGGCGACGAGTCGACTTTCGTTGGTGATGAGATGGTTTAGTGGACAGATGACCAGTTACCTCAGCACAGCCCATGCATTTTTTATGCATGCTGCCAAACCGTGACTCGTTTAGTGTTTCTTCCATAGGATTTCGCAAGTCTTGTGAGGTTAGAGATTGTTTCGTTTCGTTTAGTGTCGTGGAAAACTGTGCACAGTTTTTGACCGGTCAAGCCACCATTCTGGCCGGACATCATCCCTTGAGGCCGCCCGTTACGGTTATTTTGAGTCTTGTAAGTCCCATTCTAAGCTTCTCGGCCGCGTTCGTAAATAGCCAAGTGGTTCGCCTCCTTCTAGTATAGGTCATTTACTTTTAATCATGTTTGATTGGGATTTTTTCTTTCGATTATTTGCCTGTAAACTATAGCAAGAGCGGCTAACAAAACGTCTACGAGTATATGTAAACAAGGCGTCATTTAAACAAGCAAAGTATCATCAAGCATTTTCCAGAGGATGCTCACCATCAAAGATGCTTTGCAAGAATAGCCACCTTCCTTCCGTTTTGTATGATTATTTGAAAATAGAATGAGCCGATGTCACGACTACAACGAAAAAATGAAGTGATACTGGAAACGACTAACGAAGGGCGGTACTCTTAACCTGGTTTGACATAACGCATGAGTAATAAAAGGATATAAACTAAAGTAAGAGTAAACTTACCAATTTATCGCCTTTATTTGTGTCCTGAGCCCTCAGTCCCTGTTCCTCAACTCCCACTTGTCCAGCGGCGGATTCCGATGAGATTCCAGATTCATCCTCATTAGCTTCTTCACATGGTTCCAAATCATCTTCTCTGTCACTGAGAATTGACTGCGGGCCGAGTGATTTCTACATAGAGTAATCAAACAAAATGCAACTGTGAGGCGTGACAAGCACGTGACAAAAACGTGAAGCGCACGTGATAGCAGATAAGGAAAGCCAAAAATGCAACGCTGAAAAGTGAATTCTGTAACTGCACGTACTATTGCACGACTTCTCCTCTCTATTTATAACAATTTTAACGGATGTCAGAGATTAAAAGCAAAGTTTTGAAACTTTTCTAGAGTATTTGGTCGTCAGATCAATTACAGGGAAATTTGCCGCCAATAACTAAATTTTCAGAGCGTAAAAAAAAAACACTGAACGGCAAAATACAATTGCACGAAATTTGTTTAGGGCAAATATGATGCAAAAAGCGCAATTTTATGAGGAGTAAATCAAGGGCAAAGATGGTAAATACCGCATTTACCTGTTTCTTTAGAACCCTGAGTAAATAAGTATGCAAATGTGACATTTATAACGTTTCCCGGGTGGCGCAGTGGTGAGAGCGCTCGCCTCCCACCAATGTGGCCCGGGTTCGAATCTTGGCGTCGACGCCATATGTGGGTTGAGTTTGTTGTTGGTTCTTTCCTTTGCTCCGAGACGTTTTTCTCCGGGTACTCCGGTTTTCCCCTCTCCTTAAAAACCAACATTTCCAAATTCCAATTCGATCTGGAACGCACGGACACGTTTCAACGAGTTCTTATGAACTCCTTAGTGATCCGTGGGTAAACAAATTACAATTTACAATTTTTTTTTACAATTTTTTCAAAATTTACAATTCCCCCTGATTTACTCCGAGTTTGCACTTTTTCCATCGTGTTTTGTCATCCAGTTAAAGAAGCGAATAACACAACACGAATACCTTCTCGTCGTCTGAGGAGTACACGTCCGATGGTGGTCGGGGTTCGCCCTCATCATCTGACTTCTTCTCTGCGTCCTAACAGTACGTAAAGATTACGGTGAAAAATTTACAACACTAAAAAAGGTTTCGCTACTTATGTACAATTGTTCTCAATAAGCGTAATTGTCGACAGCTTTTAATTTAACAGCAAGTTTTAACCCTACAACCCAAAGTTATCAATTGACTAATCACAGTCGACAAAGATACTTCAGTGAACCAATCAGATCAAACAAATAAATGTAGCAGGCGTAAAGCGCGGGAGAACGCCGGCAACTGAGAAGCAATTTGTTTTGCGTTCCTTATGACTGGTTGAAACAAAAGGGCGAGGTTTTTTACAGCCAATCACCAGGCGTAGCCATGCCAAACCAGGAAATCGAACGAAAAATTACTCCCGAGAATAGCGACCTATAGGTTTGTTATAGTAGGAAGTCGAGCACGAGTACATTAATTTTTTTAGGAATTTTTAGCCAGTTACGTCCTTGAAACTCTCACTTTTTCCTGTTGCCGATTAGCTCAAAAAGAACATAAGGGATAAAGACTTGTGTGGCAAGTGATTCTTTAGCCTGCGCCATAGACGAAACTAAAC